CCCCCGCCGCTCCTGCCTGTGCCCTGCTCCCTCCCTTCCAGCTGGGGGCTTGATCTGCCCTGCTCCCCCTCCACAGCCCTTTCCCCTCTCCTGCCCCTCCCTCTACAGACTTGCCTGCTGGGGGGCATGTCCCCAAATAACTTTCTCCCTTCCACCTTGATCTGTCCGTCCCGTGTCTCCCCCCCCCCCCCCCCCGCGCCCCCCCCCCCCCGACTGACTGGGGGGGCGGGCACAGTAGATCTGGGGTTGCTTTTTAATTCAAAAAGTGATCTACTTAAAAAGGTTGCAGACCACTGTCAGGGAGCTTCTAATTTCTAGTTCAGCACATTGCTGTTATATCAGATTTCTGGTTTAATATGTGAATGTTCTATCAGTCATGCTATGCTTGTTTTGAAGTAAAGGTAATACATGGATATTTACTTGCTTAAAGTTTTATGTTTCTGGACATGTATTTGCTTTGCACATTAAAGTATAAAAATGTAGCACTTCACTGGTGTCACAATAAATCGGGTAGTAGCATATTCCACTTAGCAATTCTCATTATCCTTTTTAATACCATATTTTGGTAGGGGCTGGGTATATTATTCCTTTTTATTTGGATATTGCTACAAATTCTGAATTTCATTAATCTTTCTATTTAGTGTGCTGTATCAACAGCAGAATCAGCCTATGGATGCTTTACAGGCCTATATCTGTGCTGTACAATTGGACCATGGCCATGCTGCAGCTTGGATGGACCTAGGCACACTCTATGAGTCCTGCAACCAGCCTCAGGATGCCATTAAATGCTACTTAAATGCAACTAGGAGCAAAAATTGTAGTAATACCTCTGCACTTGCAGCACGGATAAAGTATTTACAGGTAAAACTTAAAGCTTTAAGAAAAGGGAAATATTTTATCAGGTATACAACAGAGGGGAGGGGGAAATGACACAAGTTAATGTGCAGTTGTTTCATGGTGTGTATAAACTGTTTCCATATGTATTGTAAACATACCATAGCTTGTAAAATCATTTTACTTTTCATTTTTAAGTGAGATTCAATCCTTTAAAAATGCCGTTTTGCACACTTACTCAATTGATGCATATTGATTTACATCGCTTTAATTTTTTCTATGTATTGTCTACATTTTTAAGTTGTCATAGCATTTAGAGAGAGAACACACACGCACTATCTTTCACTCTTGTTTGCAATTTCAGAAGAAAAGAGTTACGAGACCTCTGAAACCAGAGCTCAACTTTGTTCTGATTCTCACAAAGGTTTATATTCTGGTTACCCTCTTTATACTTAGCACCTTTCTGAAACCCCAAATTTTAAATCTATCCTTTCTTTAAGACGTAATTAGCTACAGATTTTAGGAAGATTTCGTGGACTTGCTCTTACTAAAGTAGGCTTGTGTTAAATTTGCTTTTTACATAATTTTTCCTAGGCTCAGTTGTGTAACCTTCCACAAGGTAGTCTACAGAATAAAACTAAATTACTTCCTAGTATTGAGGAGGCATGGAGCCTACCAATCCCCGCAGAGCTTACCTCCAGGCAGGGTGCCATGAACACAGCACAGCAGGTGAGAAGTTGGGTTATATTCTGCAGGTGCCCAGCTTTAAGGGTTCTTTACAATCTGTAGTGGTCAAGCATATTTTACTTGAGTTCAGGTCTGGCTTTCATGAATAAAAAGCCTTTGATTTATTTGCAAAGGGATACTAACTCAGAAAAGACTCCCTATAAAGTGAGAGAACTATGGGGGTACCAATTTAGAACCTTTGTGGATTTTCATTACTTTGAGAATTTTCATCTTAAGTTGAAATGCTACAATGGATATTTAAAAAAAAAAAAAAAAAAAAAAAAAAAAATAATAATAATGATGATGCCATGAAAGGTACACATTCCTCCATTGATGACCATATGGAAACTGATTTTCAGTTACTGAGGTCAACTTCAGCATATCCACACAGCCCTTTTAAAATATGCAGCTGGTAAAAGTATATAGTTTAAAGGAAAGAATTAAGAATATATAGAACCATATTTTTGTCTTCTGTGATTCTTAGGCTTGTAAACCTCATCATCCAAATACTGAACCTGTACTAGGCCTCACTCAAACACCAATTTCACAGCAATCCTTGCCACTACACATGATTCCTTCTAGCCAAGTAGATGACCTGTCCAGTCCTGCCAAGAGGAAAAGAACATCTAGTCCATCAAAGGTATATATTCTGGTGAATTAAAGGTCCCCATGCCAAAAATATACAAAAATCTGCACAGCAATTATGCCATGTACACAGCACTTTTGCTGTAATTGTAATCCTTTGGCACCAAGGTGTGGAATGTTTTAAGTATGGAATGAGGTTAGTGCATTTTCATCCATCTGTTTAATTAGAAGATTATAATTAAAATAGTAACTCCCCCAATGCAGTACACATCAGTGGCACTATACAAGTAATAATCCCAACCTCAGAATAAAATACAAGTATGTAGGGTAATAGTTAGACAGGGAAATGATCATGTTGTCCTGTCTATTGCCTTGACTTATATTTAGAATCCAAAATGTTTCATCATCACATAATGCTGTTATAATAGGTGAAATATTCTATCTTAATGATAGTACACCTTTAAACTAACCTCTCAATGTGATTTGGTTCCTTGTCATAATGGTATTAGATAATTTATTGATGATGTTTACCTTTGTTGCACTGTTCTTAAATTTTGTTGACTTAAGTAGATTGAAGTATAGTATATATTAGCATACTTTTTATATATTTTATTATTCTTGAACCTGTGATAAGAACTTTCATCAATAAGTTACTATCTAGTTTTTGTATAATTGTTTGATCTTTTGATAGTCACACCTTTGAATTTAATTCTTCCTCAGAATACTTCAGATGCATGGAGCAGTGGCCATACAGTGTCACATCCTCCTGTACAGCAACAAGTTCATTCTTGGTGCTTGACACCACAGAAATTACAGGTAGGTACGTTGAAGGAAAGCTCTAGGTGACATGAGATTTATTTTCTTACTTGAATACGAACACTCAAACTTTTGATCAGTTGTAAATTTCTAAAATTGAAATTGGATATAAAATACTTCAGTATATTTTGCTTATACTGCTTATAGGTTGATAGGAATAGTTTTAATACTTTTAGCTTCCCTGTGATGTGCATAAGATGAAGCCTAAATTTATATTTTTAAAAGCCTGAATTTATTTTAATGAATGACCTTAGCTAAATACTAAATATTTAAGTGCTCTAAGAAATTTGTAAAATGGATAGATAAAAGTAATCCTTTTTCTTTTCTTTTAACATTTTAAAAGTTGTCATACTTTAGGATGTCAGAAAAGTAGTAGCACTTACAGTACTGCCTGAGATTTTTAAAGAGCTGTAGAACTCCTGCAATCCCTTCTTCCCCTGTGAGTTACTTTTCTTGGATCCTCGTTCTATTAAGTTGATTAAACCATTAATGAAGAAAGTTAAGACTTTTTGCAAAGGTTTTCACACGTGAGTGTATTCAAATTAAATCTGATACTCCTGGGTTTCACACCACATAGTTTCTGTAATAAAACATTGGATTTTTGAAATCTTGGTTCAAATCCAGTTTCTTTTGGTAATTCTTTTGTTCTTCAGCTTATTTAAATTTGTTCTTCAGCTTCAGTCAGTTGCATTGGTAATTTGTTCCACGTTCAGCAATAGCAAAAGAAGAAACAGTTTTAGAAATTTGTTTTTTAAAAGATAATTCCTTAGCTAATGTCCCTTGGCCAGTCAAAATTGGTATTTTATGCTGTTTGACTTTTTACACCCTCTTCTGTCTCAACTCCTGCTGCCTCACTCATTTTCATCTCCCCCTCTTCATATAAACTTTGTCAACTGTCATCTTATTCTGCATCTCTTACTTTTCTTCTCTTTCATACTGCTCTAGCATTCTCTTTCCTCTCCCAGTTTCTTCCTTTTAAAATGACATTGTCATTAGTCCCTTTTGTCTATACATAGAATAAATGATTTATCAACCTTAATTTGTTATGGTTTCATTACCCTTGAAGGGCAAAGCCAGAAAGGTGTTGTGAAGGTCACCTAAAGTGAAAATCAGTAAAACCTTTATCCATGTTGTAGCTTGTAGTGTGTATATGTAATTTAATTTACAGAGAGACTACCTCTAAACTTTTCTTCCAAAATATACTGGTAATATTTTTACTTCTTTAATTGTTGTTGTTGTTGTTATTGTTATTATTTTCTCTTTCATCTGTGAAACTGAATTCTCCTTAGTAATAGGAATCTGACTACATGTGGAGAGGAAAGGTACTGGCATTAAGTGCTTATTATCATGTAGCAGCTTTTAGAAAGAGGTTTGGACCCCTAAAACAGCTTTTGGTCATGTTTTCACAGTTTAATTTTTTTTCCCTCTGGTCATAATGGGATTTCTTTTTTAAATAAACTATCCAAACTATTCTGAAGAATACCATGGTATTATATTTTCCAGCACTTGGATCAGCTGCGTGCAAACAGAAATAATTTAAATCCAGCACAGAAAGCAATGCTGGAACAGCTGGAGAGTCAGTTTGTCTTCATGCAGCAACACCAGCAGGTGAGAGCAAAAATATTTTTCTGTTCTTCAGAACTTGCGTCAGTAATGCAGTCTATTTTCTTTTTTTGAACTCTGAGCTATTCCTGTTGTACAAGTTTTTGTGCACTTTTCAGCATGTTACATAACATCTTCTGTTTCCATTACATTGTGATATATTTTTCTTTTTTCATTGAAGCTTACTGGCTGAAAGACAGTTGTGCTTATTTGTTCTGTATGATGGGACTACCAAAGAGAATAACTAGCCAACCTTTAAAATGGATTTTCCTAAATAAGTTAACCAGCAGCGTTTTGAAGAGCAGTCTAAGAAATACCCATTTGTAATAGTAGTCCTCTGATATCTCAGTCTTGTTCATTGCTCACTTTCACAGTGTCCAGTTGTAAAAACTGCATCTCTCAGACTTAATATTATTGCTGTTAATAGTCTGAAGGAAAAGTATTCCAAAATGTGATTTACTCACTGTTTGTGAGCACATCAGTCAGACCTACTCAATACAGATTTTGAAAATATTTGGTTTCTGACCTACCCAAAAGATTGGTTGAATAAAAATAAACATTTTAAACTGAACCTTTAAATCCTCCTGGGCATGTCTGCATGTGATGCTTTGCTGCCGTAGCAACGCGCTACGGCGATGCAGCATCTGCAGTCAAAACCCATGATGCTGCAGCTATGTCACCGCAGTGATACACTTCCCCATTATAGTGGGTTGCTACAGCGATGAAGTGCTTAAAAATAACCATGTGTGGTACGCACAGCGCAATACTAGCTGTTCCTTTTGCACGTACTATCACATGGCACAGTAAGTACTAAATGATGGCGCAGGAACAACAGTGCCATAGCAGCACGTGTAGACATGCCCCCTGTGTAGTAGAAATATATGCTACATAATATTTATTGTTTAATCAGATAATTAGCTATACTCTTTTGTTGTATTTGTATTTCATTAGATTAGACAAACAGGAGTTGCACAGGTACGATCTACTGGAATTCCTAATGGGCCAACAGCTGACTCATCACTGCCTACAAACTCTGTCTCTGGTCAGCAACCTCAAGTTGCTCTAACCAGAGTGCCTAATGTCGCTCAGCCTGGAATCCGTCCGGCCTGCCCTGGGCAGCCTATGGCTAATGGACCCTTTCCAGCAGGCCAAGTTCCCTGCAGCACAGCAAGAACGCTGGGTAGTACAGACACTATTTTGATAGGCAATAATCACATAACAGGAAGTGGAAGTAATGGAAACGTGCCTTACCCGCAGCGAAACGCACTCTCTCTACCTCATAACCGCACAAACCTGACCAGCAGCGCAGAGGAGCCGTGGAAAAACCAACTATCTAACTCCACTCAGGTATACAATTCAGTTTACTATTGCGTACAGTAAGAAGGTATAGTAACCAAGTCACTCTTCGAAGTCTTGCATTTGTGAAATGTGTACAACAGGTTTAAGCTAACCATTATACTTCATTGTTGATGTATGCTAAATCAGCTCTTTATGGGATATGGAGAATGAATCTTAATTGGAGGCAATTTTCTATTGTGTAGCTGTCTGTCCTTTCAGGAAGTTTTTCTTTAATATGTTAGTAAGTAAATATATGCTTTTATACAGATCACTTCTTTAGCACAAAACATTGTGACTGTTTTCTACATTTCATGCACTAAAATAGGCATATTAAGTATCAAATTGAATACTGTAATTGTTGACAGTATAATGTTGCAATCTTACCTTGATTATTCCATATAATTTTTGAAAGGCCATAAGGAAAATCAAAAATTATTTAAAAATTATTAATACTATAACTTTATATAGGCTTTGCTGTGGAGCAGTATCATGATCTTACAACACAGAGTATGAAAAGTAACATGTATAGTTATGATGTTGTAAAGAATTCTGTTTGGGGGGGAGGGGGGGGGGGGCTGTGTAAAGGAAGACCCGCTTCTTTTTCTACTTGCAGGTTATCAGTTTATCTACTCTGCCTCCTAGTGCTTCCCTGTTAAAATCAGTCATCAGTTCTACATTGAGACTTCCCATGCACATTATTGTTTTGCTGGATATGTTTGTGGTCAAGTGAAGGAAGGTCTGAAATTTTAGGACAGCATTGACGT